AACGATTTTTGTTTAGAAATCAACAAATGAGTCAAAGGAACTGTTAAAACGGGTGAAAAAGTACTACAGTGCCAATAATCGGAGCATGAAGTACTCTCAGAGTGACGTAGTGCTGTCAGTATTAGGTGCATAGATTACTGAGAGGTTAGCACAGTAGTGAAGATAAGCGATGAACAAGTACCATTTCATTTTTGTTGAGCAATTTCATCGCATAAACGTTTCGTGTTGTATTGTGGCGCACCAGCTGTACCTCACCGTAAGCGCCTCGTCCAATCACTTTGATCAGCTGAAAGTCCGAGCCTTTCAAGCGAAGCTCCGTGATACGTTGGACAGCCTCATTGTCTAAAACAAATGGCCAGTGAAAAAAGCACACGAAAATGAAATTATTCAAATGTAGCGCTGTTGCAAAAGGAAGAAGGAGCAAGTAACAATGAAGCGAAGTTGGAGACAAAATCCCCTTCGTCTTGCCCAGTTGCCCTTCAGTTTTCTGTAATATATAAATGTCCTGTCTCCTGGCTCGAGTTCCCTCCTCCGTGATATTTAATGTGATGATTGAAAATGAAATTGTTTTTGTAACTGTTTGTTTCGCCGGCACTTGGAAGTGCGCGGCGGCAGCTTGGAGCTGCTGCCGCTTGAAGCTATTGTGTGTGTCCAGTGGCAGCTTGGAGCTGCTGCCGGGCGATTTCTGGGATTTGTTTACTCTTTTTGATTTCTTTAATATTGCACTAATGAAGAAGTGGGTCTAGTTGCTTGGTGTTGCCCGACTGCCGGAGCGCTTCCCCGCAGCCAGGCAGGCCCTCCAGCTCCAGCTCCTCCTCGTCCTGAAAGTTAAAGCGCAACTAACTTTCACGAAACCAAAATTCAACTGCAGTTACCGCAGTACCAACATCCCGCACTCAACCACATTTTTTGATGCTTTAACGCCATACCTACCAAACTTAATCAACGAAATTTAGCATATGCAACCGATATTGCTATTGTAAAATATGTAATTTTAATTTTGAAATTATGTTTTTTTTACTTTTTTTTAAGCAGTGCGATTGCATTCCTGCGTGTTTACAATTTTTTCCTTTTTTGTCCCTTCTTTTTTCATCCCCACAAAAACCTTTTCGTCTTCACTCATCTCCTTATTTTCTTTTAACCCCCTACCTTCATTCCTTTTTACTTTATTACCCCCTTTTATCATCCCTTCCCCTACATTACGATTCCCTTTAAAAACAATTATATTATCTCACCGAGTGGGCCCTAAGTCTCTTTATAAACCATCCATTCCTTTCCTACAGGCTTCAGTTCAGTCCGATGACCTCAAACCTCACCGATCGAAACCGTCATCTTGTCAGATACGTCCCCCACGGAGTCATCTTCCAATGGGACCCGGTCATTTTCGTCGCAAAGCCAATGGATATTCGACCTTTCGGGAGTCCCTGCTTGTCCAGCAAGCCATTCTATTCATTAGACTCAAAGCGTCACATACTATACTGTTTGAACCTTTTGAAAGTAAACATAAACGTGTTTCGTTATCCAATCTGTCCGCCAATCAGCACATCACACAAACACAACGACCCACCACATGATTACCCCATCCCATAAAAATTTTTACTCTATTTAAAAAAGCTGTGCGTTTTCCCACCTAAGTTTCCTGCCCCTTAAATTGAATTTCGGGTCTCTACCGTTGAAATTCCGATACTTTACTCAACGCATTGCAAATCCAGCTGAACAATTTGGGTGTTCAGCAATAAGAGAGAGAGGTATGCCAGTGAAAAATACAGCCCGATTCTGAAATCACTATTTGTACGGATGAAAAAAGCACATTCAATTAACGGTGTATTGAGGATGAACAA